AATATCGTCTTAATTTGTAACACGTATTCAAAAAAGACGTCAATACCATTTCCAATTCAATCCTTCAAACTCGGTGCTAAGAAATGTCGGTTCGCCAATTCAGGCGACTTTTTGTCGCAAACATTAAACTAAAAATTCTTTGCGACAAAAATCCTCAAAATGTGAAACAAAAATCACAAAAAATCAATTCCAAAGTCCATACAAGAACTCGACGAATTTCGTGAAGAGGCTTTCGTTTTGCATGAACACAGACTCCGAGGTATTCTGCTGAGTGATTCTTCTCAGTTCGACAAATGTCTTTGTATCCATCGTCTCGCACATCTTCCCTCCGATGTATATTTTTCGCATCAAAAGGATGTTCTTCACGCTTTCTCGATTTGCAAATTTGACTTTGACGCCAAAGTCCCCGACATCCTCCGCTCCAAGGACTTTCCCAAATGGTTGCACGGCGTACAAGATATTCGGGATATCAGTCATCTTCACGTCTCGTAATATCACAGCGTCCTCCTCGTCTTGTGTAGTCACGCCAATCCCTCCAAGTTTCTTTTGTTGGACTAAGTAGTCGTCCATCTGTCCTCTTCTATCAAAGTATGTCGACCTTGGTTGCGACTGTCGGAAATACGTCGACCCTCTCGGCTTTTTACTTTCGAGTCCAGAAGGGTTTTGTGGAAGTGCTTTAAACAAAGGTGATTGGAATGATGTACGAGTTTGTTGACTTGTTGATACACGCATTCGTCTCTCTTTTCTAGTTCTTTTTTTGTTTTTTATTGGGTTTCTCTTTATCAATCATTTAGTTTAATTATTATTAATTCTACTACAGAATTAATTCACTCCGTTTCTTTTGACAAATTCACTTAGTTTTTTGATATAATAAAATTATAGTTGATATATAATATGTTAATAGATTAGATCATACTATGTTTTATTACTAAAAAGTGGTATTTTAATATTATTATTTTTATTAGTTGTTTTTAATTAATAATATAATTAATATATTTACTATAAAAATTATACACTTTTTTGTTTTTTTTTAATTACTCAAAAAACATAAAATTATTATCATTATTAGTATACCTTATAACTTCATGAACAATTATGAAATTTTGGTTCAAGTTAAATCAAACAACAAATACAATAACATTAAAATAGTTCTGTTAACAATAATAACATAGTTTCTTAGTTTGGCGTCATGTGCTCTCACATGTCACTTTCTGAATCACAAGAAGAATCCATTTGGAGGAATGAAGGGATACTTGAGAGGTAAAAATCAGAGCAAAAGTCGTGACCAATGTTTCCGACTCTTCTGAGGCAGGGCGACTCTTCCTCTTTTGACTCGGGCTCTTCTCTCTTCCGATTGATTGGCTCGCTTTTCTGAGCAATCAGTTGCTGGGTAATTAAATTAGAGTAGAAGAAAAGATCCCTTTCACTTGTGTTGGAACAAATCGTTTGGTGGAGCTCAATGTCTTTTTCGTTGGTGAAATCTCCGGAGGCGGGGACCATTGGCACTTTGACCTCGGGAGAGTCAAACAAAAGCAAATCGTGGCAACTTTTTTCCATGACCCCCTCCATGATTTCGAGTTCGGTTTTGTGAACTTTTGAACTTGAATAATTTACTTCAGAAAATCGGTATGGAAGGTATTATCGATTCACCAGACGATTTTTTCACTTCAAAGTCAACTCTCGAGAGCACATTGTATGCTCTCAAACAGCAAATAAAAGACCCAAAATTTTATAGGGAGTTGTTACTCAAATCAACACCAGAAAAACTGTCTGACAGGTGTTTGGTTTCTGTTGTTGTGACGGTGTTGTACGAGTTGGACCAACAACTCTGCTTTGACCAGGCGAACGGAACATTGTGCAGGTACTTTGAAACAGCAGATAATGAGGTTACCGATTTTCAGTACCTCTCAAGAAACAGATTTTTGTGCGCTATCGAGGGTTTCGATAATCCCTCGATACCGTCAATTTCTGGCTTGAGAAAAGACGGCATGAGGAGAGGAGACAGAACCGCTGCAAATGTTGACAAACTGGTTTCTGTCATCTCGTTTGAAGACTCAAAACAACTTAAAGTCGGCGAACGGTATCATATAATCGGGATATACCAGTCATCGAGATATGATGGTGACTCGGAGTTGGAGATCAAAGTGAAAAACGGACAGCGGGTATATGCGCTCCTTTGGAGAAAGTACCATGGTGTGGAACAAATTTGTGATGAACACAAAGTGCCTGTTGAAATGCAAATCGCTCTGAAACAGGAAGACATTAAACACGAAGGGGACATTGTGAACAAAGACTCGTTATTGATAGATTTTGGTGTGAGAGAGGACATTCTCAATGTTTTGGAATGCGTTGTTGGACAACCACAAGCAAAGTTGTTGTTTTTGAGTCTTATCTCACGGGTGTACAAGAGAGAACCAATTATTCTTCACAACTTTAATTTGTTGATCAACACAGACGACTTCGAGAATATTAAAACATCTCTATGTGAAGCATTGAGTATCATCTCACCATTCACTTATTGTGTCGATGGGAACGAGGAAAAGGGGTTGTTACCAAAGATAACAAACGATACAATGTTTTACGACAAATATCCACTTCAAGTTGGAAATGACGGGACTGTACTTGTCTTTTGTAAAAACACAGTCTCTGATGACAATTTGAGAGATTTGGAAGACTTCCTTACAAACAAAAATATGAGGATAGAAATGCATGGGTTCGATGTTTCGATTCCAGTCAATTGCTCTGCTGTTATTGTTTCAGAGAATGGTGAAAATGACGAGTTGGGGACACTTTGCAACAAAGTGATAAAAGTTAATAGAGGTATTCGCGGGCGAAGCGTGAGTGATATTGTCAATAACTGGAACGAAGAAAAACGAACAAAAGTGAGAGAGTATTTTGGGTGGGTCACACGGGGTAATTGCCAGATAGAAGAAAGCATTCAACAACTTATCAGTGAAACATACGTTCAACAAAGAGCGATGAACAGTAACGTAAATCAAGACACTTTACATCAATGGATCACCGTTGCAAATCTGCTTGGTAATTCTTATGGCTTAGAAAGTGTGACTCCACAAGTATGGAAAGAGGCTGTCGAATTGTTGAACTTGATTTAACTATACTTTATTGATTTAATTGAAGTTAAAAACACGTGTATATAATTGAAACAAACATATTGGGAACAAGTTCTAAATTATTAATTGTGTTCGTCATTCAAATATTTTTGAATGTTGAAGTCCATGAGTTGAACTACTTTTTGTGTCTCAATAAGAGAAACGCCAAGACCGCGATAAAAGATTTCAATGTAAAGTGTAATATCAGGGTTGTTCAAATCCACTTTTAAATCATCAGGCATCATCTTTGCAACTGTGTCAATTATTTGTTTTTTATCAAAAACTGAATTGTTGCGACAAGCGTATTTTATCGCAAACGTTTTGTAATTTGAAAAATTGAATTCTGAAATGAGTTCCTTTGTTGTTGTAAGCAATTTTTCGGGAGAAGAAGCCATGTCGACGCGCTGAAGAGGGACAATTCGTTGTGTTTCTTTTGCGATAAAGTTGTCTCTTTTTGCGCCAGAAAAAATTGTTTCGAGAAATTCCATTGGGTTTTTATCGATTGCGGTAAAAAGTAAGCAATCAACCCCGGTGTCAAAAACACCCTTTTTCTGCTTTAATTCACTTAATTCCAAAGCGAGTTGTTTATCGATATCACTCGAAGAGTTTACTTGTACATTTGTTTCCACAACACCATCAGAAACTGAGGAATATGAATTGATGAGGTCGTTCATTTCTTTTTTTGCCCCTCGTTCTCGTTTTAAATTGTGGCTTATTAAAAATCCATGCTTGCTCTTTTCATACATTTGTTGCATTTCGTTTATGCCTTTCATTGTCTGATATGATAATTTGCTCTTCTTTTTTCCTTGTTTCGACATTTAAAATTTGGTGTTTTATTTTCAATTTTTTATAAAGGTTTTTCTTAAATAGTAAATATATAAGTTTATAACTATATTTCGAGGTTATTGTTATTGTGGTTTTATTTATTATATTTTATTATATAAATAATTACATAATATATAATACACAATATTATAAATAAATTATAATATTGGAATTAAAAACAAATTAATAAATATTTAAATTTTATAGTTTTTAATAATTATTCAAAAAAATGTAAAAAAATAATCTCTAAACTTCAATGAAACAAGTTTTTAAGTCACAACACTAAATTTTATAAGTTTATAATTCGTCATTTTAGTCTTTTTCTAATTTAAATTTTTTGAACAATTTAATATTTACTATTCATATTAATATATTTTTTAATATTATGTTAATTTTAAATTGTTTGTTTTTTTATTCATCAAATAATAATTATCGTTAAAACTTTATCAAATAATGGTTTTTATTATAATAAAATTTATTAACGAAGATTTGTTTTTATATCAAACTCTTTTTCTTAATTATGTATTAATTCTTGAGGTAAAAAACAAGTTTTATTATACCAAAAGAATGAAGCAAACACACACAAATTCATGAGTGTAAATATTTTGCTTTTCTTCTATTTATTTAAATACTTCCAACAAAACTAAATAATTAGTTTCAAATAATAGTACAAAATATCGCTTGATGATTTTTATAAAATATATTATTAACTGAACACACATGAAATCCTCTTTTATTTCTTTTTATTCCACCTCTTTCCACAATTATGTAATAAATATTTTTTTCTCAGTGTTAAAAAAACTTTCCCGAAAATTAAGAAATGAAACCCACAAGACCCCGTTTTGTTAGCCAAAGAAAAAATATAGTCGACAAAACTTATTTTTTATCACCAGCAATTACCACCATTATTCTTGAAAATAAAAAAGAGATCACTCAACTCGATTTTCTCTGCAGAAAAAAGAAAAACCGAACTAGAAAAAAGCAGTTCAGTAATAAATGGGTTTGTCATCTTCTCAATCTCCCTTCACTCATCACAATCTCACCAGAAGCAAAACAACCGAAACAGACTGAAATGAAAACGAAGGACGAGATGTTGCAAGTCGACAAATGCACTGTAGAGACGTTCTACCTTCTTCGTAAAATTGTTCCTCCCTATAAAGGCCTTGCAAGTGCCTGTGAGCAGTACTATAAGTCCCAACTAGCGATGATCAAAGCCACTGAAGGGCTTTCCTCTGCGCTTGAAGTGATGGCCGACTTAAGTTTAGAAGGGGGTGAGCCTGCTCATTCCGACATTTCTGTTGGGGTTAAAAATGTGAGTGAAGTATTCAAGATGTGGAGATCGAATTTGTTAGATGTATCCGAAGAGTTCAAAAACACGTTAAATGTGATTAAAGGAGACACTGTCACTCTTCCAAAGGAGATTGACACGACGGAAAAGACGGTGAAGTCGAACAAGTCTGAGAAATTGAATGACGTTAAAAAGGCACAGAAGAAACTTGAGAGCATCTCTAAAAGTCAGAAGATGCAAGCGAAGGACCCACGAGCACTTCCCGATGCTATTAAAGCAGTGACAGTCGTTGAGTCTGAGTGTCAAAAAGTTCAAATGGATGGACTTAAGACTTCATTGACGTTGTTACGTGAGACGTATGGACAACTCTTTGACTGCTTTAAGAAGGTCTTTAACAAGAAGGATGAGTCTGACGATAAGTCGAAGCTTATCATCTCGGGACAAATGAAAGACATGCAGAAGCTTATTAAGACGTCGAGTGTGTTACCGCAGAAATATCGAGCGTTGACTACGATGAAGAAACAATTGATGATTAACACGACGTGGCTCTCTCCGGAACTCAAAGAAATTTTAAAGGCTGCTGGGGTCAAACCAAGACATTTAGCGGAAAAGGAAGTCGTTAATGCATTGATGGAAACTGTTAAACAAGCAGTTGAAGAAGGGAAAGTCCCACAAACAATGTTGGACGAGTTGCAGAAATCAATTGATAATAAAGAAGATAAGGCGGGAGCAGTTATAGACGCGAGCGCTATTGTCACTGCTCCAAAGGAAAGAAGACCACCACCTTCGAATTTGTCAAAGGAAAATATCCCTCACCAACAAGCTCAACAAGTACAACAAACACAACAACCAAATTTACTCGACTTGAACTCACCACAACAACAACAAGAAGAAACACAAAAAAGTGTTCCGGCACCGGCGGAATTAATGCCACCCCCAGCAGACTTGTTGCCACCACCGGGAATGGCTCCACCAGCAAATTTACCACCTCCTCCACAATTTAACGCGTCGGGAGCACCTAAGTTGAATATCCCAACTAAAAGCTCACAACAACAACAACCAAGACCATCGACAGGAAGTACAGACTTGTTGTCACAGATCCAGGGAGGGTTCAAGTTGAAAAAGGCGGAGGACAGAGTCATCAATGAGGCCGTCAAAGTCGACTCGAACGATATTGCGTCAATGCTGAAGAAAAAAATGGCAGAGAGAAGAGTCGACATCGAGGACGACGAAGAAGAAGGAGACGAGTCTGACGAATGGTCCGACTAAGAAAGAGCTTTTTGTCGTTAAATACTGCGATTTAATACACTTTTTGAGAGAAAGAGTTTGGTTGCTTATTTCTTGGGGAAAGGAGATGGAACATGTAGACAAAATTCACTAAGATTTAATTAATCAAATGGCAGAATTTTTGCATTGCCTGAGATACTCCAGCACATTCACACGTTGAAGTGACATACCAGCCTTTATTCTTGAGCGCATCATCAGCATTTCCCATGATAACAGGAAGTCCGGCGAATTCAAGCATCGACACATCATTATATGAATCGCCTATAGCCATAATTTGTGATTGAGGAATTGATAAAATAGATCCAAGTGCTTTGACCGCTTCGCCTTTTGTTGACCCACTGGAAGTTATTTCAATATAGTTTGAACACGACTCAGTCACACATATTCCTTCAATGGTCGAAAATAAAGGAAGCCACTTCTTCTTCTCGTCAAAGTCTTTTGGTAAGACGAGAATTTTTGAATAACTTTTTTTGGTGTACACCTCTCCGCCAATGACAGCGACTTTGACTAAGATTTTTTGCTCGTATAAATCAGTCTGTGGTTGCTTTGTATCAACGAAATAGGAAGGGCCGTCGTAGAATTGAGCATATACGCCATTTGATTGAATGACAGATAAACACTTTTCAAGAGGTAACCCACTGAGTCGACTCTCGTATATAATCTCAGAACCTTTCATGATTAAAGCGCCGTTATAACAAATCATATAACATTTATCTAAACCTACTTGCTCTGCTATTTTTAGAGCACTATTGGGCATCCGACCAGTACAGATACTCACATGAATTCCTTGAGAAATTGCTCTCTGAATCGTTGAAACGTTTTCTGGAGGAAGAAACATCTCATTAGACGAGTTAAAATGAATTAATGTGTTGTCTATGTCGATACACACAAGTCTCGCCATCTTCTTTTTTTAGTTCATTTCTAATAAAAATACTATATTTTTTATTATATCGATATTATTATCTTTTATAATATATTATTAATTATTGTAAACTATTATGTCTGTTTAGTGATTCAACTTATATTCATATTATTGAGGCACTCAAACGATTTTCTTGTTGAAAATAGCAATACGTTATGACCAAAAAAAGGTTTTAATGGGGTATTGTAGTCGAGACTATAAATCATTTGATACGACATGCCAAAACATTATAATTTTTTTTGGTTTCTAATTTACTTAATTATTTATAATTTAATTATTATTATTGAAAAACCCATTCTAATGCTTCAATCAAATTGAACTAATAAACCAATAAAACATTATTATTATTATAATTTTTTATAAATGAATTTTAAATTCTATTTTAAAACAATTAAATAATTTTATTAATAGTTTACCAAACTCAATGATGTATTTATTAGTTTTAATAACTTTAAGAAAAGAATAGTTTAAAAATAATTAACAATATAACACATTTCATCTAACTGCATTAAAATTTTATGTGTTATTTATATTTTTGAAAACTTCATCAGAATTGATTCAGAAATTTATAAAGTTCAGTGAAAAAACCAAATGTTTTTGAATCATTCTTGAAAAATCAATATGACTATTTAAATCCCTTTTAAACTTCTTTTTTATATCCAAATTGTATGTGTTCAAATACTGAATATATTGAGACTTCGAATAACACGCTTCTTAAAAGAGAAAGTGAAACAAACAACCGTCTGTACCTTCAAGGGGCGGAATACGTCACTATGATGGAGTATGGTCTTTCCTTCGTCATAGCATGCAATTCAAGAACAAGACAAACTCAAGATGGTAGGCAGCTCACTAAACGCTTCCGAGTCACCCGACTGTACAATGTCTACGGTGAATTGCTATTCACAGAAGACAAACCCACTGGCATAACTATTGATGATTCATTTCATCCAATTCCTGAAGAAGAAGGTGCTGCCACAGAGAAATCAGCAACAAATGGTAACATTTATGTCTTAAATTTCATTAACAAACTACTGTTAGACATTACACAAAGAAACGGATTTAAAAACGTCAAAATTTGCGAAACTAAGAAGAATACCATACCTGGTGGGATGTTGAATTTTGTGCCTTATCACGACTCAAATTCAAATATTTGGAATTTACTCAGTCGCAACGAATTTATTGCACAAGTATGTCAGAAGATTCATACATTTTGTGAAGATGTGTTTGAACAGGAATTTTCAAATGTTGCCAAAACACACAGAAGAATACTTTTGTGTTATGATCCAGCACAAGAAATCATTGCTCGAAGTAATACAGTGACAAGTAAGATAAAGGAAGACTGTATTGTTGTACTATTGTCGAGAATTCAAAACATGTTAAATTTAACACAACAAACTGTTGCTCAAACTCTTCAACAAATTGATTATACTCCTGCCCCAACTGAAATGAGTACACAGATGGTATTTAACCCAAACCCTGAAGATGGACAAATGATGTACAATGAAACGAATACTTTTGAGCCAAATTTAGACAATGTGTTCTATCCACAAATTGATTATACGCAACCTTTTAACTCTTTCTATAATGGTGAGTATATAGAAGAGTTCCCACAAAATTTGAATGGGTTTCAAAGCTTTTAAAAATTTATTGCTGTTTGTATCAAACAGCAGACACAATTAAAAAGAAATGACACGATTTAAAACTATTTTAAGGCAGAATCATTATTCTGGATATCTTAATCATTAACACGGTTGTTATTAAAGTGAATTTATACTTTGATATACAACGTGTTTTTGATACGCTTGGTGTGCGTATCACACCTTTTTTTTAGTTTAAAATTGTGTTACTTTAATTGATTGTTGTCTCACTTGTTATAACAAATTCTATATTATATAGTATATTTTTATAATTAAACTATATATTGTATCACAACAACAACCTAAAAGACCGAACTGAATTATACATCGAAATATATACAATGCAACTTGAGATGGTTTTCATAATGAAAATTTCACTTCATTTGGAAACCCTTCATGACGTCTATGCGTTTATGACAATTAACAAAAAGTGTTGTAATGCTGTGAGTGGGTTACAGGTGAATCCCTTTTTATTATTTGCTTCTGATATTGAGAAGTATTATCAACACTTTAAACAACAAACCCTTAATTGCAATTTTCTTCCTATACATTTTGAAGTGATTAAAAATGCCAAAATTGTGAGGAACATTAACATTTCATTACGTTCACAATTTCCTCCAAACACAGAAGATGAAAAAGATAAATTCTTCAGTAAATTTCACAACTTTGATATACCAAAGGGAAGAGTCGAGTTCATACCGAAAATCATCGAAAAGGCAACCCATTCTTTTACACTCAAATGCTCTCCAAAATTCTTTTTTGAGTTTGTAACAAAATATGAACAAAGTGGAGGTTGTATCGCACTTTTCCCCCAAAAAGTTGTTATAGAGATGAGTAGGGATACGGACTTCGGTCAAAACATATATAGAAAATATAAGGGTTGGGCGTCTCGAGAGGAGAAGCGCTTTACCTCCGAGCAAATAGTCGAAACTATCAATGCAAGTGTAGACAAATATAATTGTGATGTATATTGTGATTGGACAAATAACAAGTACTTTGAATGTTTTGCAGATAAATTGGGGAAGTGTAAGCATTATACAAAGAGTCATATCTATAGTGGAGATGTCAATCAGGTACATCCAATTGATTGTAACAATAAAGTTGTATTTACTGCAGAGAGTTTGTATGACACAGACTTTAATTTAAAAGAAGTTTGTAGTGTTATAGATGCTTGTTATCTTCAAAGTGTGTGTTTTGGAGTATCAAAAAAGTTTGTATTAAATTTGAAAGACTGTGTGTTATCAAATTGTGTTCAGAGTTTTAAAGTGACATCCTTTGAAATGAAGAAAATGACAACTTTTATAAGAGACTGGAAAAAACGATGTGTTATATTGCCAGATATGTTGAATGTCGAAAAAGTCGAATTCGATAGCGTGTTTGTCGTTTGCGACAAAAAATACGACGCAGTCAAAAATGTGAAAATCTCGTCAAATTCAAAATTTTTGAAAAAGACGAAAAAACTGATGAAAAATATCGAAAAAGTCGAAACAGAAATTGTCAAAATCAAAGTTTCAGAATTGCCACAAATCGACTTTTTCGCTTTTGAAAACGTCGAAGAATTGATTTTTGAAGATATGGATAAGGTCGACTTACCCGACTTGAAAAAATTGACTAAAATGAGAAAACTGACTTTAGATAAAGTCAACAACAGCATCGCATCGGTACCAGTATGGTGTTTGGATGGTTTAAATGTAAACAACTGTATTCAACTTACAATTGATTTTGAAGTTATAACAAACACACAATTAAAGTTCAAAAGATGTAGTAAAACGTGTGTAAAAGCTCGGCAACAAGCTGGAAAGTTGACTATTTCGTTTATTGAATGTCTGGAAAACAAACTCTCGACAGAAAATTTTATATACTCGTTGTCCCTTTACAAATGCACGAATTTTGCAATGGATAATGAAGCAATTTGTGATTTCTTATTTCTTAATTACTCGACTTTTTTAAATGGAAAATGCTTTGTTACTTCTTCAAATAAATTACAAATTAATCAATTTGTGTCGTTACAATACAACAGTCTCAAAACACCAATTTCTTTTGATAATACAAAAATTATCGAATTGTTTTCTGTGAGGAACACTAATTTTAATTTCGACGCACCAAAATGTGAAAAATTGATACTTTTGTATTGTAACACTTGCAAAATTCAAATTGAAAAATGTAAACCACAAGAAGTGGTGTTAGAAAGAAATTACAAAATTGTGTTGAAATGTGATTTTAGTAAAATTGTCCAACTTTGTGATTTTCAAAATGTCGAAATTAAAATGCCACAAATTGTGATACAAAAGGTGAAAAAGGAAATTTTGTCACAAGAAATTTTCAACTTTTTACAAAAATCTGAAACAAAAATTGTTACACAAGAAAGTCGGAATATTTTACTCACAAATTGCATGTCATCCAAATTTCCCGAAGTTAAAGTTACGTACATTGTCAATTTCACAGTGGACAAATGTATTTGTGGATTATTTCATTTCAATGACATCGTTTTTGGTGAATTGGTGATTTCAAATTGTTCATTTAAAACGCAGCAACCCGTTCAAGTCGCCGTTCCAAAAAGTAAGACTGACACAAAAAGTGTTTTTATGATGTATTGTAAAACAAGTCAACCCAAAATTCAAAATTACATTGACACAAAACAATTGATAGTGATCAATTCTATTAATGTTATTGTGACTTTTATAACAGTTCCCGAGAGTATAGAAATCAAGAATTCCATTGTTGAATTATCAATATCAAAAAGAAAAGACGTTAATCACAAAGAAACTCTCAACCACACAAAATCTGTATTTAATTTCACAATTAAAAAGTCTCAAATTTCAATGCAAAATTTCTCACAAATTCAAGACGTGGACATCAAAGAAAATGCGTTAGAAGACATATCAAGTCGACTCTTCACGTGTATTCGAAAGAGTGTCTGTTTCACTCATGTACGTTCACCATCTTCCAATCCGTTGACTATACAAGCTGAAGAGGCAACTTTCACAAATTGTAGTGATTTAGAAATTAATTTAGAGAAACCTGTTCGACGCGTCTGTTTTGTGGATTGCAAAGACTTAAAGATATCATCTAGTGATACAACCCACGTAGAGCAGATTCGGAGTAAGCATATAATTATTGTCAAGCCTGATGAGATCAAACGGAATGAAAGTTAACTCAACAGAATACAAGACGTTAAATAGAACTAATTGACTCTTATCTAAATATAAATATAGACTTTCACGTATTATAGTATAATTATAAAATATATCACTTTTCGAATAAGAGATATTAATAGATTACTCACTTAATAGACAAGAACCATTCAATACTAACAAATAAATAAACCTCATTTCATCAACAATGGTCTGAGTAAAGCTCCCATCTCAAAGGCAACTTTTTTGCTATTTTGCAGTCTATGATAAATAAATGAATTGATTCGTGGACCGAAGAACTCGATGTCTTCTTTATTAAACAGTAAATTACTGTTGTGATAGATTGACACGTCTCCAAATATACCTGTACAGTCCTCCTTTTCTATAATCACTTCAAACCCGTCTTGCGCCAATATGCTTTGAAGGAAGTGCATGATATCCTTTCTCTTTTTGGCTTGAAGACGTCTCTTTGCTGTTTTCATCGTGACGCCCTTCTCCAATTGATCTTCTAAGAAGAGTTTCCCATTCTTCTTTGTCATCTCATGGACTTTAAAGACTTCACCCGTCTCATATGAATTCATTTCTTTTATATGAATGAAAGGTAATGTTTGAAATGACGTCCGTTGCGGCTTAGTAAATACAAACCCATTTGTATCTGATAACATCCCTAATAGTACACATTCAACATTCGATTGAAGAGTCATTGACCCATATAACCTTGTGATATTCCTCACTTGCTTTTTAGTAGTCGTTTGCATCGCGCATCTGGCTTTCCAAGTTTGTGTTTAAAAAGAGTTAGAGAGGATATTGTTTGTCATTCCTTAGTAAAGGAGTTACAAACCCAGAAACAAAGAATCCTCAATCCTCTTCGCCTAAACTTCATTTTTTACTATTCTTTCTATAGTCTTTCAATTACATTCTTTGATTTCCCTCAAAGGGTATCTTTCTCTCAAAATATTCTTTTGTTTTCAATTTCTATTCTCTCAATCCACTCACTCTTTTTATTCCACTTCCCTTCCTATCTCAAACTCCTTATTTCCCGCTTTTTGAAGTAAATCATGAGGTCATTTCTTATTAAAATTTGAGGAAAATTTTTCTTTTTTTTTGACTTCAAAATATGGAAAAAAAGAGTTTTTTTTTCCTAACCTATTAGATTTAAGATGTGTAGTATTAAATATAATTTATTGTTTTTTCAAATATTAATGTGATTAGTAAATGAAAAAATGTAAATTTGAAGTGATTTGATTTTTTTCTTCATGTAAAAAAATCATACAATTTTTTACATTTAAAACAAAGTTAAGAATTGAACGAAAAGTAATATAAAAAATGTATTTAAATATTTGTAAACTATTGTTATTGGTCGTTATTAGTTGAAGTAATGAATGAATAAGAGTTTGTTATTACTTCTATAAGTGTTCTTTGGTTTGTATAACATTTTTGAACAACAT